GCAAATTTCAGCAGAAGGTATTTGACGGAGCGAAGATTGGCAAGTGTCTCGTTTAAAAGTATCAGGAAATCCTTATCCACGTAAACCCTACAGAACTCCAGGAAAAGAAGCTCGAGGGCGTTAGCTGGTGGTAATGTGGCGAAGTCGAAGGTTCGAGTCCTCAGGGAGAAAATGTAAAGCCGTCGAATGTGAGGGCAGGTAGCCAGAAGCTCGTGAATTGTCCGGTCGTGGAATATGTCCACAGTGACAATGCGCACTTCCTCCAGTGCTGGAAAGACATTCAAAAAAGTGCAAGTATCCTGTGCAGATGGACGTAGTTGCTGCTCGACAAACAGGTCACCACTTGCAATCACCGTCAACTTACAGACGTTTACGCACTTGTTCTGTAGACGAAGAAGCCTCTGTTTGGTTGTCACATCTGAGCAACAGGACCAAATGAGCTCAGCGGACACATCCAAATACCGCAGATTCGGTCCGCATTTCTCGAGGGCAGGGAGGAAATGATCCCGGGCCAAAGACGGAAGATGTTGAAAGCAATCAATTTTGCTCTGATTACTTGCAGGTTTGCATATACGAATTGAGAGTCGTCGGATTTCAGAGCAGCGACTGTGAATGAGCCTCTCGACCGGACTTCTTAATGGTGGGTGCCTTTCACCTATTGAGATCACTGAGGAGGAGGAGGAGGAGGAGAAGGGGAAAGACGCATTATGTAGAGTGGGGTTTGAGCTCCTACCGGAAAGGCTTATGTGAAGGTACAGATCATGCAAATTAAGCGGATGAAGGACGCAGTTATCTTCGACAGACATGAGAGAGCAGGCAACGAAGTTTACCGTTGCTTCACTGTCTTGAGCCATCTCTGTAGGTTGACAATGTAAACAAGGCATGTAGCGTCTAGCCTCAGTATCGGCACAGGCTCTGCAAAATTGCGGAATATCCAGTGGAGGTTTTTTAAGCACGCGATATGTCACAATCCTGGGCAAATTAGAAGAGCTGGTAAGGTGTCACTTTGGCACAAAGTGACCTGGCTCTGTCAGTAGGGTCAACTCTTGGAGCTGCATGACAAAATTTCGTTCACAGAGGAAAAGATCAAGCAGTTCAGATGCATGGTGAATCTGAAGGAAAGACCAAGGTGGAATCCAGGACTGATAACTATCCCAACTTCTGAGCCGGCGTCGTAACCGGTATCGGCGGTGAGAGGAGTCATCGCAGGTCATCCTGCGTACGTCGCCGAATGTCTGCATCAGGAAAAGCATTTCATACGGCGATAATTTGCCAAAGAAGCGGATGGCCACTTCTTCCAGCTTTAGATTGGATTTCAGACACTCCGTGACCTGCATTCTGGGAGTCCTTACAGCAACAGATAAGGAAAGGACGCGTAATCGAGGCAGTGGACAATTAGTGAGGAGTTCA